GCAGTGTCTTTACTTGCATGTTGACGTCAAAAGAGTAAGTATATGGTGAATATGGCCAAAAGTATTACAGAATTTCCAACAGTCTCATTTTTGATTACAGTCTGAAAAGGCCTACTTTAAGGGCCTGCGTTAAGAAATATGCATAGTTTAGTGTAATAGGAAGTAATTGCCGGTATTTAACTACGCAAAATATTTCAATTTGCATGAAGCGGCTTGCAAAATACATTGGGGAACAGAGGGACGAAAGGTTGAATTTTTTCAGGTAGCGTAAGGAGTGAAGGAATTCTTTGTGATAGGTGACTGTGATAAATTGCTAAATAACTTGGTTAGTGATAGGGAACTGTATATTATTTGATAAGATTAATTGTTCCAATTTAGGTTATGTTGGAAGTCACGTGACACCTGTGATTTTCACCTGACGAAAGAGCAGTGATCTGAAAGCTTGTGATTTCAAGTAAACCTGTTGGGCTATAACCTGGTGTTGCCTGATTTCTCAGCTTGCCCACCCCAATTCAACACCGGCTCCTCCACTTGAAATTTAGATTTAGAGAGGATTCAGGAGACGTCCAAAGTTAGATGTGAACAAGCATTGACGGGAAAATGTCCAACTTACCCCCATTGTGAAATATAGATAAACCGAAGGCTAGGAATGAATTGGGGTGGGGTATGAGGTATCCAGAGGGGGATGTCATTGCAAAAGTATGAAGTGGAGATCAGGAACAGGAAAGTCATGCTTTTTAGTGCAATTCTCTTAACCACATAAAATGCTGTTTCTGTTTTCTATCTTCTCTGCCTGACTCTCATGTGACTGATTGCCATGGTGATTCTGTAGGCTTTGCAGAGCAGCATAATGAAATCTAATGTTCCATGATTTTAATGCTTAATCTGTTCTGAAAAAGGGGAGAAAAGCATAACCTCAAAAAGACTTTTGAGTTATGTACTCATCATTGATTTTATAAATTTTAAAACAGATCTCCCTTGATGGCTTAATTTGTTATTGGTCAACTTCCTTAGTTATTGATCATGTCATCTTTCTCCAGTGCTTCTCCTTCTACCAGCTGGGTGGGACTAATCTTACTCTGTTTCATTAGTGGCTACCCGATTGTGGCTGAAGCATCCCTAGTAGAGATGTACAGCATGGAAACAGACCCTTCAATCCAACCCATCACTGCTGACCAGATATCCTAAGTAAATCAAGTCCCATTTGCCAACATTTGGCCCATAGCCCCCAAACCCTTCCTATTCATATTCCCATCGAGATACCTTTTAAATGTTGTAGTTATACCAGTCTGTACCACTTCTGGCAGTTCATTCTATACACGCACTACCCTCTGCATGAGAAAGTTGCCCCTTAGGTCCCTTTTAAATCCTTCCCCTCGCACCTTAAACCTATGCCCTCTTGTTTTGGTCTCCCCCACCCCAGGGAAAAGACTTTGGCTAAATAAAAACCAAAAGAACTACGGATGCTGTAAATCAGGAACAAAAACAAAGTTGCTGGAAAAGCTCAGCAGGTCTGGCAGCATCTGTGGAGGAGAAAACAGAGTTAACATTTTGGGTCCGGTGACCCTTCCTCAGAACTACATTAAGTGTATAAGTCCTGTCCTGATTTGCCTTTCCAAAATGCAGCACCTCACATTTATCTAAATTAAATTCCATCTGCCACACCTCTTCCCATTGGCCCATCTGATCAAGTTTCTTCACTCTCCACTACACCTCCAATTTTGGTGTCATCTGCAAACTTAGTAACCATACCTCCTATGTTCACATCCAAATCATTTAAATAAATGATGAAAAGTAGTGGACCCAGCACCGATCCTTGTGGCACACCACGGGTCACAAGACTCCAGTCTGAAAAGCAACTCTCCACCACCAACCTCTGTCTTCTACCTTCAAGCCAATTCTGTATCTAAATGGCTAGTTCTCCCTGTATTTCACATGATCTAACCTTGCTAACCAGTCACCATGAGGAACCTTGTTGAACACCTTACTGAAGTCCGTATAGATCATGTCCACTGCTCTGCCCTCATCAATTCTCTTTGTAACTTCCTCAAAAAAACTCAATCAAGTCAGTGAGACATGATTTCCCATGCACAAAGCTATGTTGACATTCCCTAATCAGTCCTTGCCTTTCCAAATAAATGTAAATCCTGTCCCTCAGGATTTAACGGTTTATTTTCTTGCCTGTCTTGAGATGAACTACATTGCATATATTCTTAATGTCCCAATTAACCCACTGCTGAACTTGCAATACCACATTATTTCATTGAGAAAATACAACTTCTTCTCCCTCTAACTTTTTCCTGCTCCATCTATATTATGTCATCTGCTGCTGAAACCCTCATCCTCACCATTTTCACCTATATACTTCATTATTTTAATCTCCTGAACGGCCTCCTATCCTTTATTCTTCATCAGGTTCACCTCATCCAAGCTGTTCACATCGTATCTTGCAATTAGTTCTGCTCACCCATCCCTATCTCCTCAGTAATCCACATTGGATCTTGATCCTCCAATGCTACAAGTTTCAGTATTTCCCCCCATGGTTAAATCCACCACATCTTACCTAGCTTTGTAACCTCAAGTGTTACAAGCCTCATCCTTGAATCCTTTGTTCCTCTGACTCTAGTTCCTTATGCCTCTGGATATTCCTTCAGCTATCCAAGTGAGCTTGATCAGAATTTCCCTTCATAATCCTCTTGTCCCTCACTCTCTTTGTTTAAGAGCTTCATCCTTGCTGTCTTTTTTTTGACCATGCTTCTGGTAATCCTGGTAATCTGGCAATCTCATTTTTGGCACAGCATCCAACTTAAAAAAAAGATTTTCATTTGTAAGTGCTTTTTCAAGAACATTGCATGACCCAGACTGCTTCACAGCCAATGACGTTCTATTTGAAGTGCAGTTTCTGTTGTAATGTAGAAATGACAGTAAGCCAATTTGTGGACACAAACTGCAATACTATACTGACCAGTTTTTTTTAATAACAGAGGTGTTGCTTGAGGGATATATATATATACGTGTGTGTATGTGTGTGTGTATGTATATGTATAAGTCAGGACAATAAAGATATATCCTTGGGCACATGTGGTGAAGTAGTTCTGTCCCTACCTTTTGAACCAGGAAGCCTGAGTTCAAGTCCTATCTGCTCCAAGGTGTATAATAACATCTCTGAACAAGTTAATTAGAAACTATCTATCTCCTCAGTTGTTCTTCAGAATGGTCGTATCTGATCTCTGGAGAGAGGCAGGTGGGATATCAGTT